GGGCACAGAAATGGAATCCTCCTAGTGTGTCAGCCATCGGAGGGTGGTTGGTAAAGACACCTGCAGTAGATGCTTCGCAGGGGTCAGGTGATTTCTTCTCGTTCTCCAGGGCACCCTTTTGTCAGCCTCAGGGTTGGGAAACTGGGGAAATGGGATTAGCCATGAGCAGGTTTCCTGGGTGCTCTGAACTGACACCAAGAGAACTGGATGGGCTGTTCCAGGTGTCCCAAACAGTGCCACCTCCCAAAACCTAAGCACATGCCTGAACCAGGCACAGGGTCCCTTTTTCCCTGGTGTGTGGGACTCCCGGGTGCCCATCCTCACTTCCTATACCCTCAGGTCTCTGTGAACTGGTCAGGAGGACGCTGTCGGGCTGCTTGGGTTACTCATCTCTGTCCCTCACGTTTCTCTGCCCCTCCAGCCCTCCACTTATCTCAGAGTCCCAAAGATGGAGTAGGGTTCCCAAGTGGGCATCTCTTTCAAGCTAGAGGGACAGGTCAGGAGGACATCGTGGTGTTCCTAAAAGAACGACAATGGCAGTGCCCCTGGATACAGCATGTCAGAGGCGATGGCTCTCATGTATGTCTCCATGGGTTCATGGTTCTCCTACATCGACAGAGTAGCAAGTGCAAAACCCTCATCCCACTCACTTGGGCTTAGGACCCGATCAACATGCATCCATTTGTGTCCTGCTTTATAGCGGTTGCGTGTCATGTCACTTAACCCTCGCCACCGCCTGGGCAGGTTGCTCCCGCGCTGGCCACATCGTCATGTTAGCGAGAAGCCCTCGACACCCAGGGAGGTCGGTCCGATCATCAGCAGTGGCTTCGAGGGAATCCCTCTGCCTTTGACTCCGGTCCAGAACTTGTTGACCCTCACCTGGCATGTTTTTAATAAGCTGAACTAGCCATCGATAGTTCCCTGTTAATCATTTATCTCTCGCCCACCCACCCGAGATAGGCTTCACGGAATGTTTACAGTAACAGCTGGATGCCGTTTAATCATTAATGCTGCTTTCTTCCACAATTTCCCAGGCTTATATCAGACTAAATGGGGAGTTGGGTTATCTATGAGGCATATTCTCTTTGCTCTTTACACTGTAACAGGCCAGCGAAGCCCCGGGAACCGGGTGAGTTATGCTCGCACACTTGGATTGGCTTTGGGGATGATTAAGAGTCGAGACTGCGCAGAGCAGCTGGAATAAGGGAATTGAAAAGTGAGGGATTTGACAGTCCATTTGGTGAAGATTAAGTGAGAGAATGCACGCGAAGGGCTTAGCATGGGGTTTGATAAATGTTAACATGAAAATGAAGTTGATTATGAGTGATTATGGCGAAGGCAATCATTCCAAGGGCTGCTAATCCAGTAATCTCCATCTGCCTTTCCCCTTCCTTCCCCCCTCCCTCTCCTCTCTCCCCTTCTCTCCCTCTCTCTTCAAGCCGCCCTATTTTCCATATTCCTGTTCCATATGTTTTAGGGTTAGCTTTAGCTCCGTGCCAAGGTCAGCAGAGACTTAACCCTGAAGATTAAGGATGAAGTCACAGCCAAGTATTACTCAATCAAAAATGTGGAGGGAGTAGGAAGTCTGTGGCATTTCCTGTCCAGAGCTGTCAGCCAGGGGCTGGTTGGCACCACGGGGCTTGCGCAGCAGGGTGGACAGTGCACAGAGCAGCACCTGCAGGCATTTCAAGGGAGGTGGCCTCCAGCTCACACGAGCCAGCTTTGGGAGAACACGACCCCCTGTACGGTCTGCCGACCTTCTGTGGTGTGCTCTGTCAACAGTCCCGTTTCTTTGCCTCTGCCCTTCCATCCAACACAGGCTTACGAGTGAGGATGTGACATGAAGCTGTCTGGGCTCCGATCCAACCTCTGTGACACGTTGGGTGGGTAAAGGTACTTCTCCAGGCCTTGCTGACTTGATTTCCATCATGACTGGCCACAGCGATCGACACATGGTGCCCTGAAGGTTTTATGATCGGTAGCAGAGGTGGTTTTCTAAACATTTAACCCCCAGCACAGCCAAGGCGGGGGCCAGATAGCTAGGAGCCGAGTCCTGGTGCTCTGCTATGGTAGGCATTAACTCTATAGCTGCTGGACTGTGGCAGGTGGGCACCTGGGGGCCGGAGGCAGGGCTATTCATCAGTGGGTGCAGCGCACTTTGACCTTTAAGAACCGGCATGGCCACACTAGTGGACACTTATCGGAGTGTTAGATTAGAACAGCAGCAATTTCTGCACTATTTCTGGAGATTGAAAAGACAGGGAGGGAGCTAGCAGGTTCAAAACCTCATGCCCAGAGCTTTCATTTATACTATATTTATTCATTATTCTACTCAAGCCTTAGAGAATTATTTTGAGGCAGTTTAGGGTTCTCTTCTCATATACCCAATAGTTTCCCCTCTTTTTTTTCTCTTAATAAGTTCTAAGACACCATTTCAGAATGGTGTTTCACGAGGCTCTGACAAACGAAGTGCCTTATCTGTGCTCCACAGAGGCCATTTGCTGTGAGTTCAGTGACAGTGGTGATCACTTAGCATTTATTATGTGCTCCGTCTACCTGGACTCATTTGATCTTCACAAGGGCCTGTGAGATATGTCCTGTTGCTGTGCCTCACTTGACATAAAGAAACAGAGGTACAGAGAGGTTAAGTTATTCGCCGCAAGTCACACAGCTAGTGGGCTATAGCGCTGGTGTCTGAACTCATGGCTCCATGCTGCCCGGGGTGCAAGCTGACTGCATTTGGCCTCGTGCTATGTCTGTGGGCAGCTTCCTACCTGGGACATGACGTCTCAGGGATGGATGAGGTCACTGTCAGCTCTGTGGTGGTCTCTGTAGGGTGAGGCACAGAGTCTCACCTTCATGCTCACCTCCTCTATGTGACTGTTCCTTTTGAAATCTGAATCACTTCCTTCTGTGTATGGGAAGGAGGAAAGGCGTTCTAGGCTGAGGGGCAGCCAAAGGAGCATGAGAATGGCCTGCAAAGGGAGGTCCAGTGGGCTGGAGCATCCTGGGGTGTGTGCTGGGATGAGTCAGGCAGGGTCCTCCAGGGGAGAGCCTCGGACATAACATTCGAGTGCTGGCCACAGAAGCTCACCAACCAACATACTCGTCAGGCTACACAGATGACTTCTGGATCTCAGAGCCCGTCGTCCTCTAAGAACTAAATATTCTTCCAGAATTGTATTTTCTATCTCTACTTGGCCACTTGATACCTTATGGACTTAACTGCAAAAAAATTTTTAAATTTAAAGCAATTTTTAAAACTTGCTTTTTCTAGTTACAGAAGAGGAGTTTTTCCAGTGTCAAAAATTGGAAAAGCATAGGAAAAGAAACCAGATAAAATTGGGCTAAAATACTATGGCCAGGTATAAACTGCTGTCTGTTTTGCTACTTCCAGGGGGTCTATTTTCTCTGCACATAAATATGTGATGTGTCCTCTGCTCACCTCAGCAGCCTGGGATCCTGCTGCCCTGTGCTGGGCCAGGACCCCTTGCCTTCCCCATGCTCCAGGAGCACTCTGTATGCTCCTCCCAGATTGGCTCTTCTAGAATGGAAGCTCCCTGAGGGCAGGGCAAAGTCTGTCTTCCTCTTACCTAGGTAGTAGGGGCTTAGTGAATAATTGTGGAATAAATCATGTATAAACATTTAAAAATTTTTAATTTTACATTAAAAAACAAATGGGCGGGGCACCTGGGTGGCTCAGTGGTTGAGCATCTGCCTTTGGCTCAGGTCGTGATCTTGGGATCAAGTCCTGTATCTGGCTCGCTGCAGGGAGCCTGCTTCTCCCTCTGCCTGTGTCTCTGCCTCTTTCTCAGTGTCTGTTATGAGTAAATAAGTAAAATATTTTAAAAATAAATAAATAAATAAATAAATAAATAAATAAATAAATAAAATCTAAAAACACACGGGCATAGTTTAAGACCTTATATCACATAATAGCGTGGATTTATTAGTAAGTGCATCTATTTCTAATGCTAACGGATATTCTTTCATAGATCTTCCTCTGCTTGTCAAAAAAGATTATGAGCATTTTCCCATGATGTTAAATATTCTTTAACATATTTTATAAATGCTACATGAGTAGCATAGTTTCCATATATGGATGTACCATAACTTATTTAAACTTCCCTGTTAGATATTTTTCCTTCCTTTTTTTAAAAAAAAGATTTTTTTAATTTATTCATGACAGACAAACACACACAGAGAGAGGAGAGAGAGAGAGAGAGAGAGAGAGAGAGAGAGAGAGAGAGGCAGAGACCCAGGCCGAGGGAGAAGCAGGCTCCATGCAGGGGAGCTCGATGTGGGACTCGATCCTGGGTCTCCAGGATCACATCCTGGGCTGAAGTCGACGCTAAACCGCTGGGCCACCGGGGCTGCCCCTAGAAATTTTTTTCTATTGTGAATACCATTTGTTAACAATCTCAGGCTGAAATCTTTGTCCACGCTCTTTATTACTCCTTTAGGATAACTTTTTATACATGGAGGGGTTGGGGAAAAAGGCCTACATATTTTTATGGCTCTAGAAACCTATTTCCAAACTCCAGAAACCTGCCCATTTTTCTACTTCTGACCTGCCAGGGATTCTGGTTACAATCTTGGTGAATGTTTCCAATTTGACAGGAGAGATTGGCATTTGGTTTTAATTTACACTGCTTTTATTTTCATGTCTTGAAGACAGAAATTTTGGTGTTTCCAAGATGTGTGGCACCATAGGAATGGCCATCTGAACAAGAATGTTCTGGGGAGGGGCCTGTATTGAATAAGCAACATGGCAAGCACGGGAAACACAGATGTCCAGCCCAGCCATCCTTCAGATGGAGACAATGAGGCCAGAGAGGAGTATGGAGGCACCTAGATCTCCAGGGGAGCTGTCTGTACCACACCCCCCACCCCGTCCTGGTGTCCTTACCAGGCAACCCCTCCATTTGGAGCCACCTCCCCTAATTATGTATTGGTGACAGCAAGTGTCTAATGATTTCTTTCTTTTTTCTCTTTCTCAGGAACAAGGAAACCCAATCCGAAATCTGAAACATAAGCCATGAAGCTCAGTGAAAAGGACTCAGCACAGTCCAAAGAAAGTGATTTGGTGAAAGAGAAATTGGTCAGTCCTGGTTTCCTTCTCTCTCCCTGTTCTGGTAACATTGGGGCAGTCCCTCCTGGCACCCTCGCTGCTCTCGGGGAGATGTAAATGGAGGCAAGGTCAGGCAGAGAAGAGAGAGCAGGGGATAGAAGTAAAGGTATGTGGGAAGTTGCCATGTGAACAGGAAAGCATGTGGCTTGAGGAGGTACAGGCCACTGATTACATTGTACTTTGGTTGATGATGATTATACTGTCTGCTGGTGGCCTTCGGGACTTGAGAGAGGGTCCCCCACTCCAGAGATCATTTCACAAAGAGGGAACACGGATGTGTGACAGTGATGATGTCTCTATCCTTGAGGATATGCTGAAACCCGTCCCCCTGCCCCACCACGAGGCCCAGTCCACCTGTCCTCTCCTCCAGGACATCCTGGGCACTCAGAGAGGCTCTTACTCCTCAGGAGTCCTTGGACCTTTTAATCCAGACTCAAAAACCAAAGCCAGTGGCACCTGCTCTGGTCTGACCCTTTACACGGGTCTCTCCTTCGGTTCTCTCAGCCACACAATGGTGAAGATATCACTGCCCTTGTTTCACAGGTGAGAAACTGCAGCTCAGAGAAGGATGAAGCCACTTGTCCAACGCTCCATAGTTAGAGTGAAGGGAAGCCAGTCTCGAACCCTGGTCCCTCTGTGCCTCATCTGTGATGGGTGCAGAAGCAACCAGGACTCAGAAGAAAATATGTCCATATTTTTAATAAGCCTTATTAGCAGGACAAAGATCAATTCAGGTGTATTTATCAAACCACCAGGGAAGTGTGGAATTGGAAGACTGAGAGTGACTGTCCCCACCCACAGGTGTGAAACGGAGTGTCAGGGAGGCTCAGCCACCATCTCAGGTCATCCAGGGATGTGACAGTGATTCCCTCCAAGGACACACTTATATCAGGTTGAGTCAAGGCTCTGCTGTCTAGGCATTTGGTGTAATGAAGGAAGGGGATTAGTCATCTTAATAATTCTGCTTAAATGATATTCAACTAAAAAAAAAACTACCCCCCAATTTTTTTTTTTCCTTTCCTGGTGGAAAATTTTATCTTGTCCAAGCTGATTTTCTAGCTTTAGGACATCATCCAGAGGATAGTTTGAGTTCCGTTCCAGGAGTATCTACCTGGCCCCTTCCCTGAGCCAGGTGAGAATCCAAAGAGGCTCAGGAACTGGATTCCCCTAGTCAGGCCACCAGGACAAAGCCCACATGCAGGGGGCTTAACACCAGAGACATACTTTCTCACAGTGCTGGAGGCTGGAAGTCTGAGATCAAGGATGTGGGCACAGTTGGTTCCTTCTGAGGCCCCTGTCCTCGGCATGTAGATAGCCATCTTCTCCCCACATCCTCACATGGACCTTCCTCTATGTGTACCTATGTCCTAAGCTCTTCTTATGAAGGTATCAGTCATAATAGATTAGGGTCCACCCTAGTGACATCATTTTACCCCACTCTCCTCTTTAAAGACCCTGTCCCCAAATGCAGTCACATTCTGAGGTACTGGGGGTTAATGCTTCACCTTATGAATTTGGGGGGGGCCTAGTTCACCCCATAACAGACACACAAATTCCCTGCCCTTGGTGAGATCCTGTCCAGAGGCACAGGCACACATGAGGACAGACAGTTATAAGTAAGGATGGTCACAACCAGTACAGTTATGAGCAGCATATAGAACACAGAGTGGCAGAGGGGGTGGCCCAGGGGAGCTTCTGGGGTGATCTGGTGAGAGATCTGAGTACTGATGGATGAGCAAAGTCATGGGTAGTCAGAGGGCAAGCCTGAGCAAAGGCAAGGAAAATCTGGCATGAGTAGGTACTCAACAAATAATGGTGAATGGGTGTGTGCATGCAGGATTAAGTATCAGAAGAGGATGATTGTGTTCCAGCCCCACGACACCTGGGAATATTTGTCTAGTGACCACATCCTTGATAGAGTTAATTTTCTCAGGGTCTGCTGGAGAGCATGGGGCTACAGGCCGAGCAAGTATGGGAATGGCACTGCCTCTCCCAAACTTCACTTCTTCCCTGTAACGTCAGCCTAGCAGCTCCTCAGATGGCTGTTAGAGGACTCATGATATCAAGGGTGTGAACACATTGGGCCAAGGGCAAATTAGTGTAGACATGTTCTGGAGGTGCAGGAGGAGGGTGCTTGGGGAACAGAGAAATCTCGAGTAACTGCCGTCCAGCCCAATGAGCCACAACACATCATGTTCAATGCCGAGAGACCAAACATGAGCACTGGAACAGGCCTTGGCAATTGTCCAGGGACATTGACCTGGCCCCCAACCTCCCCTTTTACCATCGAGGACACTAATACCCTAGCAATGAGCAGATCTTTCTACACAGAGTACACACGATGGCCTTTATTTAGAAAAAAGTGAGAGCATTTGGGTCCAGATATGGCACATTATCTGGGGACAAGGTGACTTAAAAAAATAATAATGAGTATTCATTGCACACTTGCTGTATGCCACGTGCTGTCGTACTTGTGTGGCTCTTCTACATGCTTTTCGAGTATAAACTCACAGAATATCCCACAAATGAGTCTATGAGGTGGTGGCAGGGTTGTCCCCATATTACAGAGGAGGACATTGTACCACAGAGAGCCCAAGTGACCTGTGCAAGGGGTCACAGGTTGTAAGTGGCTGAGCGGAGGCTCAACCCCAGGCAGTGTGCCACCCATGTCTGGGGTTTAAACCACTAAGCTGTGGCAAAGCAAAGGGACAGCTCCTATCACCTTCACCAAGGTGTCCCAGAAAGTAGAGCTGTTTGCCATCCGGAAAAGCCCTGGGAATTTGAGATCACTCTCCTGCCCCCAGGAAGGAAGTGCTATTAGTGAGAAGCCCAGGCTCTCCAAATAGCTGGAGCACTGGCCTGGAACTTGAGCTCAACTTTTAGGTGTGTGACCTGGGGCAAGACACTGCTCACCTCTGGGTTCGTTTGTTGGCAGGCCAGGGAGAGAAGTTATGGAAGAGGAAGTCTTCAGGCCAAGCACTGCCTCCAGGCTGCTAGGCCAAGAGGGGACATGAAGTCTGCACATGTCCAGTCTTAGGAGCTGGGATAGCCTGTGGTGCAGGGCTGGACCAGGGGCAACTGCTGGAGGATGGTCTCCTTCCACCCCTGGGATCTGCATCCCCTCTGGCATCCACCCTCAGAGCTCTAATTCAGCAGGTCTTGGATCAGGGAGGTTGAGTCAGGAGAGGTGTACAGGGACAGCTCTGCCAGGGGCTCACGTCCACACTCGGAGTCTGCCGGTGGCTGGTGGCCATGCTGTGCTCCACTGGCAGGGCCTTTAATGGTTGCTGGCTTTGGAAGTTCTCACAGCACAGGGGTGTCCCAGACACCAGGGACCTCCTCCCATTGGTAGTTGCACTTTAAAAAAAAAAAGATTTTATTTATTTATTCATGAGAGACACAGAGAGAGGCAGAGACACAGGCAGAGGGAGAAGCTGGCTCCTTGCAGGGAACCTGATGTGGGACTCGATTCCGACCTGAGCTGAAATGCACATGCTCAACCACTGAGCCATCCAGGCATCCCTATAGTTGCACATTTGTGTTGACCTCTTGCTCCTGGGGCCTACTGAATTTTCAACCCCACTGGGAAAGCATGAAACACTTTTAAATGGCAGAGAGTGGGGGAAGATCACCTGATTCAGTTTGAGTTTTAGCAAGATCAGGTGAGATGTCCTGTTAATCACGACGAAGCCAGAGAGAACCCATGGAAGGGCCTGAGATAAAGGGGGGAGAGAGGGGAGGAGGAAATGGAACTGACGATGGACTTAAAGTCCCGTGGGTCCCCAAGACACAGGGAGGCAGCTGTCCTGGCCCCTTCCCACCGCCTCCCATAGCTCAGGGCCCAGCCATGCTCAATTATTTTGTTCCTCCACCTACCCCAGGGCCTGCGGGTCTTGATTCAATGACCCCCCCATCCCCACCCATGCCCCTTCTCTGCCTGCATATTCCCCGGGCTTACTCAGGAATCTCCTCTTCCAGAAAGTCTTCTGCGATCCAGCCCTAGTTTCATTGTCTGCAATCCACTAAACCTAGTTTGCTTGCTTCTTGTGTCTTTGTGGGCTTGATGCCTGCCTGGCCTTCTAGGGCTTCTGCATTCCCCAAACATACCGTCGCCCGCTGACCTCTGTCCCTGCTCTCTGCCTCCGGGAGCAAATGGCCGAGGCACACTGTCCTAAACCTGTCATGATTAAAGGTACTTGTCTGACATCTGGGGCAAATTGGCCACATGGTGAATTAATTCTCATGATGTCAAGTATGCATTGAGGGCTCCTGCCTCCTCATTGATTTCCCTGCAGGGGCAGGCGAGAAGGAGGTCTTCCCCCTCCAGAGCCAGTGCTGAGTGAGCAGGACAGAGGAATGGCCAAGTGGCAGATCGTTTTTCTTCCAAACCCAGAGCTTCCCCATTTGTTCCAAAGCTGCAGGGTGGCCATGCCCACGTCCAGCAGGCTGCTCAGGGGCTGTGTGTTTTCTGTTTGAGCCTCAGAATAACTACGGGATGGATAGTCCCGGACGGATCAGTCTTCTCATAAATGCAGTAGCTCAGAGAAGCAAAGTGACTTGGCTAAGGACAGGGTTAGAGAGGCAGGGTTGGGGCCCCACCAGGCATCCCCTGCCATCAGGGACGCTCCGTTCTGTCCCAATCCTTAGACACCCTGGGTTTATGCCCAGTGCTCCCTCTCTGGCCTTGCTGGGAGGGAGAATCAGAGGATTCGTGAGAAGGCAGTTTCCCTTCCAGGACTCTTGGGTTGCCCCTCTGACTGGGCGCGGGAGGCAGCCCATGGTGCTCATTTCCTGTTCAAACGAGACAGAACTGCCGCATTTCCTGCCGGGCCCCCGCCCCCTCGTGGACTCTGCTTCTTGCTCAGAGATGCCCTGGCCCGGCTCACAGCCTGCGGAGCATGGACTCCCGGGCCCGGGCTCACCCAGGGGCTGCCAAGCGTGGCCGCACCCCAAGAGGGACGCCGGGCAGGAGGACCAGAAAGGTAAACGCAGAAACAGGCCTGTGGACCTGCCATGGGGCTCAGAGGCCCAGCGTGGGAGGCTGTGCCTGCCTCCCTCTGCTGCCTGAAAGGCTTGGGGCCCTGGTCCCGTGACCTTGGCCGTGGAGCTCTCGCTCTGGGGCTGCAGGTTCCCTCTGGCAATGTGCCTGTGCTTACAAAATGAGGCCACGGCAGAGAACTGCCTCGCACGGGCCGGGGGGCGTCCCCTTTTCCCTCCCTGCCCCCACTGCAGGTAACCTCTGTCCCTGGGGCAGGTGATGAGAGGTGGTGGGGACCGGCTGGCCAAGCAGGGGCAGGGGCCCCGGGAGAGGCTCCCACCTGCCCTGTCTATCCTCTGATGTGTGTGGACAAAGGGACAGGGATCAGGGCTGGAAGCAAGGGGCCCAGGGACAGATAAGTGACTATGGAGCATGGGCATTTTGTCTAAAATGCAGCTCGTTCTATTGCTGAATCTCATACAGTTCAGCCTCCTCTTACAGCAGTAAAAGATTCTGGCCCCATAGCTGGCAATGTCCATCCCGGTGGCTTATAAACCCCTTTTCTCACCTCCACCCGATCACTAGCATTTACTGAATACCTTCTCTGCAGTAGGCATGGTGCCTGGAAGCAAGACCCCCACCGTTAAAAAGTAAGACCCTTGCCACTGTCCCAGCCTCTGCCGCTAATGCTCATGGGCACAGTGTTAACTCAGCGTAACAGCCTAGGGGGTGGGGTCTGTTATCATCTCCACTTTCAGATAAGAATACTGAGTCACAGAGCAGCGATGTACTGGCCCAAGGTTACAGGCCTAAGTTGCAGATACCAGGTAAGACGGAGTTGAATCAAAGAGAAACGCAGGGCAGCCTGGTGGCTCAGTGGTTTAGCACCGCCTTCGGCCCAGGCCCTGATCCTGGAGACCCGGGATCGAGTCCCACATTGGGCTCCCTGCATGGAGTCTGCTTCTGTCTCTGCCTCTCTCTCATGAATAAATAAATAAAATCTTAAAAAAAAAAGAGAGAGAGAGAGAAACGTAAACATGAGGAGTTGGAGCTTTCAGAGAAGAGGCTGGCAATGGGCCTTAGATACAAAAGTCTCTAGAAGGGGGAATTTCAGGCTTGACCGAGAAAGGTCAAGAAACTGGCTCGGGTTCTCACAGCTGAGTGGTAGAACCATCCAGCACCTCTAGCACCGCCCCCCATGCTAGAGGAGACTACTGAGGTGGGCAGAGCAGGTAGTCGGCTATCGGGGTCCGGCTTTCCCTTCCAAACAGTGTTTGACTGACACAGTTGCCTGAACTGTGGGCCTTGTCTGTTTTGTTGCCGGTGAATCCCTGGAGCTTTCTCAGGGCCTGGTCTGATAAGCACACATGTGCTAGCAGAGATGATAGCAGAGAGAGTGGATTCTAAGAGCACCTGGGTCCCCTCCATCTGGAGAGTGGCCCATATTCCCCTGGCCAGCTTAGGATGGCAATTGCTCCCACTGCCAGCTCCTGCCAGCTGGGCAGCTTTTGCCAGGGGGCCTAGATGTTTCTGCTCCATGGTCCTGTCTTGATTGTGACCATCTCCTTGGATGAGGCCAAAGGAGAGGATTACATGGAGGCAGATGCCTCGTTCTCCGGGCTGAGGCCTGTATCTCTCTAGAGGTCCTTGTCCTGAGGTGCTCAGACTGGCCTGCAGATCGACAGCTGAGTCTGGAACAGCATGTGCAGTGCTGTGTGTGCGTGCATGTGAGCGTGTATGCACCTGTGCAGCTGCGAGCAGCCTCAGGCCCTAGATGCTGTTCCCAGATGGAGAGCCGGTGGGGGAGAGGCAATGGGGTGCAGGGGGACACTGCATGGGCTCCAGCCCCCATCCCAGACAGCACCACGGACACCTCTGTGCCTGTTTCCTCACCTATAAAATCAGCATAACATAGTACTGATCTGAGGATTCCATGAGACAGTACCCCAGAAAGTGCTCTGAACAATGCCCGGCCCATACCTCTTCTAAGTGCCAGCTGCTACTGCCGGTGGCTGAGTCTGGCTTTGCTTTTTGCTCCAATGTGGCTTAGAAAGTGGCCAAATTCAGCTGACATAATAGTGTGTGGCTGCTTGCACAGCACCCGCTAAGGGCGTCAGGTCTGCGAGTCCCTGTCTGTTGCAGCCGTCAGAGGCGAGCCGAGCTCCGCGCCTGCGTGGACGGAACGCACCCAGGACGCCTGCCTGCGCAGGTGGGCCCCGACAGGCAACGCACCTGCGGCAGCCTCCCCAGACCAGGGGACAGCCCGGGTGCGTCCGGTGGGCCCCTGGCTTGTGCCCGACTGCCAGATCTGACGTGCTGTCCTCTTCCTTCCCAGGACTGGTCCTGCTTGCTCCTCGTGGCCTCCTTCGTGGGCGCCTTCGGCTCCTCCTTCCTCTACGGGTACAACCTGTCGGTGGTGAACGCCCCCACTCCGGTGAGTGCCCCGCGGCTGCGGGATGCGCCCGGCAGAGGGCGCTGCGGCCACGTGCAAACTGCGGGTGCTACCTGCCCAGCCGGCTGGTACCTGATGCTGCAAACCTTGGCTGGCTGGTTCCGTAGCAGAGGGTCTGGGAGAGCGGGAGAGAGCCAGAGGGGGAGATGGGAGACACAGAAACAGTGGTGACAGCACGGGGTGTTCAGTTCCTTGCCGAGTGTCCTGGGAGAGCGCAAGGCAGGGAGGGGGGGTCTTGGGAGGCCCAGGGGCTGATCCTGAGGGATCTTATTCCTCTGCATAGACTCCGAGGAGCCAGAGAGACCTCATGCATAAACATTTTCCTGATGTTCTTTTTGCGTTTATGGCTTTTAATCATAGCTAGAGGTCACTTGGGTATCTGTTGGGTAAGATCGATTGTTGGCTTTTGTGTCTGGAATCAAGACATTAGGCATGTCAATCAGGAAGAAGAGGCTGTAAAGCAACCAAAGGTGTTTGTTTATTTGGGATCTTAGGGTTTGCAATGTGGGAGGTGGGGAGAGGATGGAGATTGACATTGCGCTTGGAATTGCAATGGGGAGTGCAGGGTTATAAGGGCAGACCCCAGGAGGCTGGGTACCTCGATTTGAAGGAGTTGTGATCGGTGCTGACAGAAGAGTTTAACTGACCACCTAATGCAGGATTGGCTCTGGAGCAAACGAGTGCTACCTTCTCTCTATTTCAGTCCACAGTAGAGGAGGTCTTCCAAGAGGTGGCCAATGTGCAAGTGGCAAGTCATAATCGACAAAAGTCAAGACTTCATGGTGTTCCCAGAATTCAAACAGGAGTCAATAGGCTCTGCCTCCTCAATATCCTCCCCACCCCATTCTGAGGGACTCTCTTAGCAATACTTACTTCCCTTTTGGAATGTCCTTTTACAAGTGCGTTTCCCTAGGCCCTCCTAATGCCTCCCTGCCGCTTTGCTGGTTTGGTTTGGTTCTGCCTACCTAGACTATTAGGTCTAGGTGCTACCCATTCCTGAGGGTGCTGGCTTCTGTTTGACCTACCTCCACCCTTTGGGGGTAGGGTGAAGGATGTGGGGGAAGGCTTCCTGGAGGAGATGATGCCTCAGTGTCATCTTAAAAGCAAAGTAAAAGTTGGGATCTGTGAAAGGTTTGCAGGAATGCAGGTGTGATGCGGTTGGAGCACAGGAGGCCTTTTGGGGAGCATAGGGCAGGAGCTAAAGGAGTGAACAGAAGCCAGACTAAAGACCTTCCTGGAGGCTTTTCAGGCTTTTCCTTGTTTGGGGGTCCAGTACCTCCATGTGCAAAACTGGACAGTTGGGTCTCAAAGGGTTCCCAGGAGCCCTAGGCCTTTTTAAAATTCAGATATCTTTCAAAAGTCCCACAATGTCTTTAATAGCTGGTTTGTCCAAACTAGGAAAATAAAAAACAGTACCTATATATGTGACAGAAATATAAAAAAATAATTACAACTATGAAATCTAGATGTAGATGTTCATTATTCTATTCCCTTACTTTTCTATGCATTTGAAAAGTTTTAAAACATAATGTCCAAAATAATTACATCTCTACAAATGTGTCTACATATATGCAAGAAGAGGGAAGTTTCCAAATCATGGTACTGAGCCTGTCCTATTCTATGTTGTCAGCAACTATGTGGACAATAATATAGGAAGGACGTCTATGATGTTTCTCGGTGGATGAGCTAGAAGGAAAAATGAATGTGTTAGGAAATGACACATGTTAGAGTCATGGGCCAGGACAGTTCTGATTTCTGTGTTTTGTTTTTGTTTTTTTACTCTGTTAACTCTTGTACATTTTGGGGTTCTGTGTAAGTTGATTTGAAAAACGGATTCTGACGCTAAGACCACTTTGAAAACCAGGGGCCTCAGTGGCCTCCTTGAATTCTTGCAGCAATCAGTGGCTTTGACTTTGTCATTGTGCATCATCCCAACACGGGGACCTGATTTGTCCATAATTGTCTTTAAAAGAAGATTAGAAGTTTACACTCTTGCTTTATCTTGACCGTTCAGCAGAAACTCCAGCAGAGGGTGGAAGACCTTTGCACTCATGGTTTGTGGAGCAAAAAGCCTTGTGAAACTTGAACCCTGAATAAAATGACGTAGGCAGAAAAACCTAAGTTCACACAACAGTCGGCAGAAGAGGCAGGATCAACTCTGTCATTCATCCACTTACAACTTGTTTGTAATTAATAAACCTTATTTTTTAGAGCAGCTTTAACACAGTTTACAGCAAAATGGAGCAGAAAGTTCAGAGAATTCCCCCCACATCCCTTTCTGCCCACCCCCCACGCACTGCCCTCTCCGCTATCAACGTCCGGCACCAGAGGGGTACATTTGTTGTCATCAGTGAACCTGCCGCGCTACATCAACATCACCCAAAGTCCACGGTTCACATTGAAGGTTGACTCTTGGGCTGTGTCTTCTATGAGTTTTGACAAATGTAGAATGACATGTACCCACCATTGTGGTATCTTACAAAACAGTTTCACTGCCCTAAAAATCCTCTGCTCTGCTATTCCTTTTTCTCTCCCTACTAACCCCTGGCAACCACTGATCTTTTTACTGTCTTCATAGTTTTGCTTTTTCCAGAATGTAATGCGGTTGGAATCACATAGTATGTGGCCTTTTCAGACTGGCTTCTTTCACTTAGGATTATGCGCTTAAGCTTCCTCCATGTCTGTACATGGCTCAAAAGTTCATTTGTTTTTGTTTTGTTTTGTTTATTAAAGCTGAATAGTATTCCATTGTCTGAATGTACTAGTTTCTCGAGCCACTCATCTGCAGAAGGACATCTTGATTGCATCTTTGCTTTGACGACTATGAATAAGGTTGCCATAAACATCCATGTGCAGGTTTTTGTGTAGACAGAAGCTTTCAGTTCACTTGGGTAAATACCAAGGAGCATGATTGCTGAATCACATGGGAAGAGTATGGTTAGTTTTGCAAGAAACTGAGAGGCCATTTTGAGTTTATCTTTGTGTATGGTGCAAGAGAGTGGTCTAGTTTCATTCTTCTGCATGTGGATGTCCAGTTTTCCCAGCACCATTTATTGAAGAGACTGTCTTTCTTCCAGTGGATCGTCTTTCTCCTTTGTCGAATATTAGTTGACCATAAAGTTCAGGGTCCACTCCTGGATTCTCTATTCTGTTCCATTGATCTATGTGTCTGTTTTTGTGCCAGTACCACACTGTCTTGATGACCACAGCTTTGTAGTACAACCTGAAATCTGGCATTGCACATGAGAAAATGCTCTGCATCACTTGCCATTAGGGAAATGCTGAGTGAAGTAAGTCAATCGGAGAAGGACAAACAGTGTATGTTCTCATTCATTTGGGGAATATGAATAATAGTGAAAGGGAATATAAGGGAAGGGAGAAGAAATGTGTGGGAAATATCAGAAAGGGAGACAGAACATAGAGACTTCTAACTCTGGGAAATGAACTAGGGGTGGTGGAAGGGGAGGAGGGCGGGGGGTGGGGGTGAATGGGTGACGGGCACTGAGGGGGACACTTGACGGGATGAGCACTGGGTGTTATTCTGTATGTTGGTAAATTGAACACCAATAAAAATTAATTTATAAAAAAAAAAAAAAAAAGAAACTGAGAAGCCACCTTCCTAAGTGGCCGGGCGGTTTTGCATTCCCAGCAGCAATGGGTGAAAGTTCCTATTGCTTTCCATTCTCACCAACATTTGATGTCATTAGTGCTTTGGATTTGGGATCTTCTAAAATAGATGTGTCCTGGTATCTCATTGTTTTTATTGTAATTCCCTAATGACACAATGATGTTGAATACTTTTTCATATGTTTTTTGAAAAGACAGGAATATCTTTTCATATGTTTACACATCCCTTTTGGTGAGGTGTCTGTTCAGATCTCTTGCTCATCTTTTTTTTTTTTTAAGATTTTATTTATTTATTTGACAGAGAGAGTGCACAAGCAGGGGCAAGGGGTAGAAGGAGAGGGAGAAGCAGGCTCCCCGCTGAGCAGGGAGCCCAATGCAGGGCTCAAACCCAGGACTCTGGGATTATGACCTGAGCTGAAGGCAGATGCTTAACCAACTGAGCTGCCCAGGCTCCACTTGTCTATTTCTTTAATTGGATTATTTGTGCTGTTATGGTTGTGGGTTTTTTTAAGAGTTTGTTGCAATATTTTGGACAACAGTTCTTTATTAGATGTGTCTTTTGCAAGTATTTACTCCCAGTCTGTGGCTTATCTTCTCATTCTCTTGACATCGTCTTTCCAAGAGCAGAAGTATCCAGTTAGTTGATGAGGGGTATTTCAGTGTCTGAATATAATAATGGTTCATCTATTTTTCCTTATAGGTCTGTTAGCTTTTGCCTTATGTACCCCATGCTCTGTTGTTAGCATACACACATTAAGGCTTGTTATATTTTCTTGGAGCATTGGTCCCTTTATCAGTATGCAATGCCCCCCCTTTTTCCCTATTAACTCTCCTTGCCAAAGTATTCCCTGTCTAAAATTAATATAGTTATTATTGCTTTCCTTTGATTCATGTCAGCATGGTGTATCTTTCTTCATCCCTATACTTTTAATCTGTATGTGTCTTTATATTTTAAGTAGGTTTCCTGTAGATAACATATAGCTGGGCCTTGTTTTTTTTTTTTATTCACTCTGACAATCTCTGTCTTTTAATTGCCATATTTAGTTCATTGACATTTAAGGTGATTATTGACATAGTTGGGTTAATAGCTATATGATATGTTATTGTTTCCTATTTGTTGTGCTTGTTCTTTGTTCCTATTTTTGTCTTCCACACTTCTACCTTTTGTGGTTTTAACTGAGCATTTTACATGGTTCCATTTTCTCTTTCCTAGCATTTTAATTTACCTCTTTTTTACCTCTTTCTTTTTTTAACTTTCTTTAGTGGTTGTCTGAAAGTTTGTGATACACATTTTCAACTAATCCAAGGCTACTTACAAATAATACTACCTTGATTCACTGGTAATAACACTTCAC